CCTTACTGTTAATTTTTACATTTTCAGCCAATCTTCTATCACACATACTTTTTGATGCCCTAATTTCCTGTTTCACCAACTTTCTTCTATAATCTAAATCTTGTGTTATACCAGTCAATTTAAATTTATTAAGTGTGTAAAATCCAGTGGTCAATAAAGTAAAATCTACCTATTCTGAAATATCATTATAATACTAAGGTTAATTGGACAACATCTGAATATTCTAGGTCCCTAAGAACTATTTTTCAACCCTGTTCAGTCCACTGACCATGATTACACACTATTGCTTGATACTACAACTCTCATTGTAACAAGCTTCTGCACAGAATGACAAGGTCAATCACAGACCACACATTTTGACAAATCTTTCACCTACTTTCCACCATATGTGATCATTGGCTTCCTTGACCATGTTTAAACAGGCCAAAGGTACAATAATGTAATGAACCTGCATCAGGAGCCTTAACAAGTATGCAAGTGAATAGGACTGCAAAGATTCCAGTTAGTTCAGCCATCTTTCTCATGAAAACAGCTACTGATTTTGAAATGTGTGGATGAAAGCTTGTTAGCCTTTGTAAATTTAAATTTTGTTTATTATGTTACTATGTTACTGATGATACCAAGAGATAAGCTTAGCATCAATAAAAGTGGATTTTTGGATTAAAGGGTTCTCCTTCATAACCATTTCTTCACTTTTCGGATGGTGTTCTTCTGAATTAGTTTAGGGTGTAATTTCATGCTCTTGCTGTTTTAAATACTTTGCTTTGTGAGTTTTCCACTTCCAATAACACCACTGAATAATCCTTTCTTTCAAATGTTGCATCTTTTGACTCTATACTGTCTTACCAATCTCCATGTATAAATATTTTTCCTTGGAAAGGACTGTGACATATACCACCAATAATAAGTACATCTTGTGGCACTGCACTGCTAAATTGTAAGGAATTTACTATGAACTAAATATGCATATACTATGTCTATGGTGCCACATCATGCACCTTCAGTGATACATTATTGCATTGGCATATAAAAATCATTCATATAAAGTGTTATTAGTACTGTGTTTTAGCTGTAACAGAAGTAAAAGGTATATACTAAACAGAAGTATCCTTTGCGTTTGGCATTATAGAAAGTTTTTGTTTGAGTGAATAACTTTTTCTTTGTTTAAGTATTTTACATTCTTACAAATCAAACCATGTATATTCTTACCAGATTCTCCAAAGTTATCAACAATTCCTTCAACACAGCCAGACAGATACAAGGCACTTGAAAAAACATTTGCAATAAAGAAAATTGTTCCAATGCTGCCTCCAAATTCTGGACCCAATGCACGACTTATCATAACTGTTCTGTGTTAAGGTAAGAAATTTTCACTTCTGGATGTTTCTGGACTAACCTTAAGTTATTCATGATTATCAAGTGATTTTCATCCATAACTTGTAATGAGAGAGAACCTATACTCAAAGACTATAATTTATTCTTTCATTTGATGGTTTATATATATTACATAATTTTTTCTTGAAGTTTTTTATTCTTACCTATTTTGCACCTACCTAATGTTCTATATCATCCAACACTAGAAAACAAACAGTAAACTATGCACAATGACCATACATAGTTTGAAAAACTAAAATAGATATTAAACTAGTTAGTTGCATTGATCTTAATGTTACAGACAAGTACTTAGAGATAAAAAGTTAATGTAAACACCTCAGCAAATGGAACAAGCTATCAGAAAGTGTCAAAATTAGTTTCTCTGAGTTCAAGTGTTCTGTAAGTTCGTTCCATTTACACTAATCTTTTTTTTAATCAGTATTTTATTTGTGACACATGATATTGTGTTCTTTTAAAGGAAAACCCAAAAATTTAAAGAGAAGGATGTCAGGAAGAAATATGACTGTCAGTCCAAAGAGTACAAATGTTTTGACAGTTTCTCTGGCACAATAAAAGACATGTGCATTGGTTAATGGTTACCTTTAAGAGAAATGACCCAGTATGTATAATTTATGTCATATGGTCCTGGTTTCATCAATTTTGCAGTACATTGCATGGAACGTTTGAAATTAGTGTTAACTAGATGAAAAGATGAAGGTATATTTTCCCTTAACTTGGAATAGTTTCCTGTAACTGAAAATTAAACCATATGTTCAATTTTTTCACTACACTGAAAAACAGCTTATTGATTGATATAATGTTTGTTTGAAGTTAAGCACAAAGCTACACAATGGGCTATCTGTGCTCTCCCCACCACGGGTATCGAAACCCGGATTCTAGTGTTGTAAGTCCGCAGAGATATTGCTGTGCCACTGGGGGGCTTGATATAATGCTTAAATGAAAAGCAAACAATATACAATATAAGACATAATTGCAGAATGTAAAAATTGAGAACATACAATGAGTTTGGAAAGTAGTAAAATAATACAAATAACGCAATAAATAGTTTAAAAAAGCAAAACCTAAATCTTTTAAAAAAGTAAAATTAATAGCAAGCTAAACAGTATATTGCCACTTAAAAAACACTATTTAAGATAAAAGGTACTTGTAAAGAAATGTTTAAAATACTGCCATTACTGTCAAACTGAGTACCACATTGCTTACACACCTTAGCTTAACAACCTGTAACAGTGGAAATATATGTGTACTAATTCTTTTGCTTAGATAAAGGTGAAATACAGCATCAGCCATCACACAAAAGCTTGTACCAGTTTGATCCTGGGATGATGCAAGCCCATATCAAGAGATGACACAAATACTAGTACAAACTGGTATGAGCTGGATATTCTCTGCTTTGAATATGTTAGTTGGAATAGTCACTGAAGGATTATGTGATACTACACTAGCACCCTGGTTTGACTTGAAAGTGCAGCATTACAATATTCTATATATCCCATATTGACATGTTTAAGAGCCTTCACTCCAGCTACAGCAGTTAGTAAAGACACAAATACTATTGTGAATGACTACTGTGCCTAAATGGTTGCTCATTGAAGGTAATAATAAAAATGAAATTATTTCAAAATTAATGCTATCAGACACGCAATTTACTGGTTAGTGTTACAACTTTGCTAGTAACACTAAGAAGGCACTAAAAACACTTACTAGTACAGATTTCAGAAGGAAGATTCACAGATTCTTATTGCCAAGTATCAATAAACCCATTATACATGCATTTCAGTCACTTATATTGCAAGATTCACTATACAGAAAGTATATAATTAACAAGTCCTTTCACTAACCATGTCAGTTTTATATATTCTTAATTGAGCTGCATGACATACCCAGGCTAAATATCAATAAATGGTGTTAGCAAGACTACAATTTTAACTCTTTTGATTGAATAATAAGGCAATAAGAAGGTAGATTAGCCATCAAGACTCACCCCATACAATCTCTGTAGTGTGGCTCTGCTAGCAGCATGGTTAAAAATACTGTACCCAAATGGTTACTTATTGAAGACTGTAATACAATAGTAAACTACAGGTGTTTTCTTCTCCAGATTTCTCTTAACTTTCTCATTATGAGCACAAATGTTAGGTCTAGTGGCTTCTAATGCTTTGTCAGTTTCAGCATTTAAACCATAACCTTGAATAATAAAATTATTTTATTCAGTATAAAATGACTATCAGCAGTGTGGTACTGTAGACTTTGTTAATCCAGGCACTTGTGATATAGATACACCAACACTAAGTTGAGCATCTTTCAACTTTTGTGAAATAGCAAAAATAACAAAAAACTGTCACATATAAGAAAAATTAGTTTTGATGTTCTAAAATATTTAATAGAAAATAAGACACACAAGTTTTATATATATAAATAGGAAATATACAAATAATATTTAATATATGAAATAATTAATTATAACACAGTTCCAGTTAATTTTAGAAGAATAATGTTGTTGTTATGAGAAAAAAAACCCAACTAGTAATCATTTGTTTGTGTCTTCAAAATTTAAGTTCTAGGCCTAAAATATATTGTTTTATTTGTTCATTTGTTTATTTATTTTATTTTGCTCTCTCTGTATTTTATTATTCCCATAAAATTTTGGGAACCTGTACTTTGTTCATACTTGAATCATACTATTGGATATCACTGTACTTGTGTGACATACAAGCATATAATGTTTACTACCTAGTTTAGTTAGACAAAAATGTAAAAATATTTTAGTTATGTAGCTTCCATGCTTTAATAGTGACAACAAATGATCCAAAAAGTTGTTAATATTACCTTGATTATTTGTTCTTTATAGTAAGTAGGTGATGTATATCCCACCTGAGAGGATACTAAAGTAATATATAGCTTCTGGGTTGAAAGGATTAGCACAGTAATATCCTTTCCTGGCTGAGTATGATGATGATTAAATGAAACAGCTGACCAGTGCTGTGAGAAAAACAGAGGTCACGAGATGGCACTGTTGACTAGACAAAGAAAGTAACTTTATCTGTTAAATTGCAGTACATTTTCTTGTTTCAGTTCAACTATGAGGTTATATAGTCAAGACTTACTTTTAAGATCACCATGTTTTTTCAACAGAAGTCTGTTCCACCAAAGAGAAAGCTGTGGGAATAAGCACAGCCTAGTAGAAGTGACCGCCTTTTTGTGGTGCAAATATGTACACAGCATTTACTTTCTGTTTGTTCAGAAATAAAGTACTTATGAATGAGGGGGAGAATTAATGAGCAGATAGAGACAGTTGCATGGAAGAGATGATGAGTCTATGAGAATACCTCTCCTGGATGCAGGTCTTTCTCTGATGCTGCAAAGGTCCATGACATTGATCAGCCTGCTACCTGCTGAAACCCTACTTGCATCTGGTGCACCCAGACCACACAAGCAGCTGGTAACCCTGAATATTAAGCTCAGCAAAAAGAAACATTTAATGACTAAGGTTTGCCAGAAAGGACTGATGCCTGGCAAATTCAAGACTGCACTGAGAGATCTCTACCAAATTTCTGGGGTGTGTATAGTAGCCCCCAGCTCTGATCGAGACTACAAGTAACTAATGGACAGAAGCTGGACATGTCACTGATAGATGATTTCCATCAGTCAGAGTTGACAACCTGGCTGATGAGGCAATGAGCATTCACAGTTGATTACCGTGGCCCACAAGGTGAAGTACCTTTCAGATCAGATGTCAACAACAGCTCAAAAAAGCTGGGTGTCATATAAGGTTGTATGATGAGTCACTTTGAGTAGCTCCACAGCCTTTAATCCTGGACCAGGTACCGATCAATCAATTGGCATGTCAGAGTTCCTTTAAGTGGCTTCCACCTGAAACTGAGGACATTACTGGCATCTCCTCCTGGCAATGGTTGGGGTTATGAGAGAAACTTTGGCCTGGCACAAAGGGTCCTGTGAGTGAGGCCAAAAATATCATGCCCACAATGTTCAAGGGGATAGAAAGAATCTGGACCAGTTCGTGAAATGTTTGTGGCAGGTCACCGCTTGGAATGGATTGTCTCAGGAAAAAAAACTATACAACACCTGATCCTGAAATTAGATGGTCAGACCCTCAACGCTGTTGAATACCTCTATGAAGAACAAACAAACAAACTGGGAACTATATTATACAATTTGCATCACTAATTGGATCAACCCAGTGGGGAATTTGGTAATCCTCTGGACCAAGTTCAAGGCTAGGAAGAGGACCAATGCTAAATAAACTATCAGTCTATGGAGACAATCTGCACCAATTCCATGGTAAAGTATAACCAAAAATGGCAACCACAATCAGGAGAACATCTTAGTTGATATTCATTGAGGGACTCCCAATGAGCTTATGCAACAGCATCCAAGAGTGAAAGACATCATCACTTTCACAGAAGCCATGTCTCTCACAACAAGCTTTATTTATCAGTCAGGAAAATCATCCAATGCTGCCCAGACTGAGTTCAGTAACAGTGGATTGCATGAGAGTATGTAGTGAAGGGAATAACAGCACCTCCATATAAATAAATAGTGTTCTCTGAGTTAAACCAGACCAAGTACAATGCATTTGTGCCATATACTGCAGTTATAGAAGCTACATATGAAAAACTGTTTCCTGTCACAAAAAGCATCAGCATTAACTCTGGCAGTACTCTGCCTGACAATGAAGGAAGTTCCAGTATTGCTTTATGATTATAACTGTCAGCTATCCAGCATGATGCTGGAATATTCAGAGTCATAGTCATGTTAAGTGCAGTGGAAGTAACCTATGGAAGCATTAACACTAGGCTTGTATTCATCACATGGTGACAGAAGGCAAATACAGAGCTACCAACATACCCGAGGCATTGGTTACTAACTATCTCGACCTAATGCAGTGATAGCAACTCAACAACTTGTTGGGAGAATATGAGAAGTTTTGTTGGACCAAATAGCTGATTGGATAGAACAATGGTGACTCAGCACTATATAGATACAGACAATCTATGTCAAATAAAGCAATTGCTACAATGACTTCCATGGAGTACTGGGGAAGTCACAAGAACTGATATACAGTAAATGCTACATGACAGTCATATAGCCACTAGAAATTGATTGATCATTTCAATTAATGATTGTCAGGTAAGCCAAGGTTCTGCATGGACCTTTGTTGGGTAAATATGGTAACTTGCATTGATGCCTTTCTTTTCACACGGACATATGAATGTTTGGACATATTAGAAGGCTCCCACTTATTAAATACCTTTCTGGATCCCAAATACTGGCAAGCTGAACTGATCAACGAAAGCAAGGTAAAGACTGCTTTTAGCACAAGAGATTTTCTATATAAATTCTGCATCACACCATTCCTTAGTTTCACGTCATACTACCAATAATTTGTGGCCAACTACTTGAAGGTAGCAGCACTATTATAAGCTCTTATGAAAGTGGAGTTCACTTTGCATGATTCAAGGAATGTGATCACATATCCAAATCATTAAGATTTGCTCTAGTGTATGCACCAATTCTAGCTTATCCCTGTCAGGACTGTGAGTTTCTTCTGGACACTGACAACCAGTGACAATGGGGTCAGAGTGGTATTATTGCAGTTGCAAGATGGAGAAGAATGCAAATGGACTATTTAGCTTCAAAGTGACCTTTTTTGTTTGTGTAATATCCTGAGCATCAGCACCATCAAGGAGTTGAAACTATGGCTTTTCCAGTCATATCAAAAGCTGACCATGAAGGTGCCTACAATGAAGAATTGATGCAGACAGTAATGCTTCAAGAGCTCTGGAACAAGAAATTGAAGTACCCTGATCTAGCATGGTAGCCTGTGTACGAGCAGTTACAAGTGCAAGAAGATATTTGTGTAGATTTGTATATATGCTGTACCATTGTTATCAGTCCACTAGGTGAGATACTCCAACAGTGCTTCTGCTAGTGGCACCAAGGTGTAATCCACACTTGCACTCACATTCAATAGCAGTTCTAACTATGAGTGAGTTGAGATTTTCAGAAATCATATGAATGTTGTATTGTGTATGATGCTCAGAGGAAAACCAGCCAAGACAGGGTAAACTGCAACAGAAAACTGTAGGGTCTCCTATGCAGAGGATAGCTCTGGATATTGCTGGTCCATAACCAAAGACTGCAGGAGGTCATCACTACATACTCATTGTTATTGACTATTTATGAAGTGGACAAAAGTTTATCCATTAATCAAAATGCTAGCACAGACCATTACAGATGTGTTAGTCAAGAACTTGATAGCTTGATTTAGAGCACTGGAAAAAATTCATATGAATTAGAGAGCAAACTTCAACAGCAATTTATTTATTTTGAACCAAGATTTCAAGGAGATAGGGTGTGTCTTTAGTCTGCTCAAAATTTCATTTTTTTTTTTTAGACTGAAATACAGCTTAGTTATTAAGCTTGATAAACTATAGTAGAATTCTATGGTACTGATATAGTAATTTATGATTTTTTGATTATTCAACTGTATATATCAAACCTAAAAAAATTATTTTGTTTCATATCATCCGTGTGTAAAATTTTTAAAGGAGCCAAGCCTCTAAGCAAAGCAGCAGCAGAAGTCCATACTGCTGTTGACCCACCCACAGAAGTGAGAACACAAATAAACAACAAAAAACTAGGCATAGTGATTTGTCCCATTATAGTGTGTGGCACAAGAAAGAGAAGACTAAAGATGTGGTGTTACATATCTTTGATGGGATCACTAAAAACTAAGCCAAAGAAGATATTTACTGCACTGAATGCATCTTTAGGAACATCCAAGTCCTGGGAAGTTAAAGATTGAGCAGACTCTGGGAAAACTTCAACTACAGATACCAGTGCAACAGTGGTACAGCCAAGCCAAACAGCTCATCCAATGGTTCCTGCAATCATCAAAGAAGTTCCAACCTTGAAAGCTGGTCATGATGGAAGATTATAAAGGAAATACACTGCTGTAGTCTCTGAAGTATCACTGTTGATGAGACCCTGGGATTCATCCCAGAAGGGACCGAGGTTAGAACTTCTTTCCAGACTACTTAGTGATTATGAACTTGCCTAAGTTAGAGAAGATTCCAGTGCTCAAATGCTATTGCCAGGAGATAGTAGCCAAGTGGTTAGAGGTTTGGGTCTTCAAAACCCAGGAAGGAGTTCTAGTTCCTGTTATGCATGCTAGCTAAAGCAGAGCAGAAGCTGGTAAGGGCCTGAACAGACCTCAAGGCACTCACAACCACTAATCAAAAGATAATGGTGACAGTGGAAGTTCTGCTGATGGGGTTATGGTGAGCATAGTGAGGCCTCAACCACTTTCTAGGGCATGTATATTTATTTTGTACATTACGTACAGTGGACTTTACCTAAAATGCCCACTGCCTTCTTCACTCATTACTGTGAGAGGAGGACAGAAGTGTAACAGTTTTTGTCTATTATTTTATTTTGTTCATATATACACATATATCTTAATATATATATATATATATATATATATACATACATACACATATATATCTTAATTGGCTTATTTATTTTTGTTATGACAAGTCCTAGCTCTTTCACACATGTGAGTGCGTGTGCAAAAGACCAGGGATTTTGAAGTTTTCTCATGTACATTTCTTTTCATTGATTTCAAATATAGTTTATGCATGTTTAACATGCCATTATTCGCTTCCGCAACTGAGTGTGCATAAGTGACATGCAGTAAGCTTTCACTTTATTAATCAAGTATTTTCACATTTTTAAAGTGAAAAACTTTTCAATTTTGAAGAGTTTTCTGTTAAGTATGGTAATTTTGTCTTATGGTGTTTTTTTGTGTCAAAGGCTTTTGTGTATTTGATTTTTATACACATATTTTTGTGTATTAGGATTGTTCAAATGACTTTACAATCCAGGAAGAGGTTAATGTTATAAGCTGTATTTTTATTAAGTTAATGTAGATATTTGTTTGCTAGAGAGAGTTTGTCATTATGTAATGAAGATGACATTAGAATCAAGATATTTTTGTAGGAAGCAGAAAAAGTATGATATGAATACAAGAATCAATGTAGCATTGAGCTAATGACTGAGTAAGTTGTATATACCTCAATATATGCCCACAGACAAGTGAAAGTTATTGTTTCTGCAATTCAGTTAGTTATATAGTAAGGGTAAGCACACCTGTGATTCAAATTCTGCAATTAGCTTTATATAAGTAAGTTAGGAATTTGTACCATTAGAGTCAAAACTATATTTATGAAATCAGCCTACAAAAGAACATAGTCTGTATCATAGCAAACATTTCTTATACAACAAGCCCGATGAAGCTTCAATGGTGAAATGTTGACTGAAATAAAAAGTTTTTTTATTACTATCTGGAGAGTAAAAGTCTTTTTATTTATTTCTAATTTTATTGACAAAATCTTTAAATCCCTATGTACTAAAATTCTGAAAACAACAAAATGTTACTTCACGTAAGGTTAAATTTGTAAATTAATGTCCAACTGTAGCAAAACTAAAGTATTCAGCCAGAAAATTATATAACTACAAAATATACAATGTAAGATGCATCAGTCTAAATTTCATATTCTTCTCCTCCATCTTCCAACCAACTTCCTTTTCCAAGCTTACTAGATACCTATTTATGAACGTGTGTGTTTTTTCATGTAAGTACATATCTCATTACAAAATACATTTCATCAAATCAAGAAATTAACAGTAAACTAATATATTAACTCTTATGTATGCCTCATGATGAATTAATAAATTAGATGTGATGTGTATTAATATAACTTTGTACTCAATGATTTAATACATTTAAGACTTGGCAGTCATATTTGACTATAATCGAAATTGCACATGAATAAAAGGATACAATAAGCACCCCCTCCTTCCACAGCTCCATTGGTAGAAATTGCACAAATTGACAAGACAGTTGAAACCAGGATCACATAAGCAAGAGTCATCTGTGCCAAACACTCCAAGATGCCAGCATAACCAACTACATAACCTACAAGGAAGAGAAAAATATACTACCACTAGGATACCAATTCTTTCAAATATTATGCTTGAAAAACATTAATTATAACTGGGTTATTAGCAATATTTAATATACAACTAATTAACAAGATCATTAATTGATTAAATTTGGTTATTTAATTAGTATATTCCCCCTATTCAAATAAAAAAAATGGGTGTGGGCTAGCTTTGTAACTTTTCAGCCATTGCATTATTATAAAATTCTATTAACATTGTTTTTTTTTAATATAATTTTCAAATTAGATTTGGTTTCTTATGATAGACCCTTTCTGAAGGTTGCCATATGAGGATTTAGTGAAAACAAAATTCTAAAAAGATATTCTGCCACAAAGTTTTTTAAAGATAACATGGACATTTCCTAATTGGCAAATGACTCACTAATGTTGACTAAATAACAGCATGCAGTTGCTATTATTTTATGTTTTTAAGCTATGCAGTAATCCCACACTTCTGTATATCAAATGTATTGACAATTAAATAATGAAATCATGTTTTACTATCACAATGATAAGGGCAATAATGTGTTTATTTAAAATACATCATGGTAGCACTTAGAAATAATTAAGTAGCCCATTAACCAGTTTACTTATTACATTAGGATCTCTAACAGGCTACCCTGAAATTTAAATTATTTTAGGCATGATTAGAATAAGTTAATCTATGAGGCTTTGGGCATGGTCAAATACATCAATCAAAAGGGTTTGACCTCTTGAGTCAAAAAATAATTAAATCTCCAATCAGTCAGGAGATGACAGAGCTATAAGCTCAAAGTTTGTACTTGAAAAAAACAAAAAACTCAGAGCTGTTCTATGAACTGCTCATCTGTGGCTAAAAACTGTGTTAACAAACACAGCAACTTAATAAAACCATTGCATATCTATCAAAAAAGCAATAACACCAAATATAAACAGAGAACCAAACATTAATAAAACACCTTTATTAAGCCTTAAGCAATCTCCTGTCATGCAACTTCTGTTGTTCATTGCTGTGTATGTATACGTGTGTATTCCTTTGTGTAGATAAACTATCAGGACTTGATGATTACAAAACCTCCACACATTAATCCTTTGTCACTGAGTTAAACTTGTAATAAAGTTTTCTTTTATTTTAACTCATTTAATCCATCTCTAACCCTAATTATAACCCTAATCTTATCTCAAGTTATCTGATGTCTTCTCATTGAAGAAAATTTCTGAAGCTTTCAAACAGATATAATTCAAACCTATATATACTTATTACTACTTGCTCAATCCAACTTTCTATATAGCTATTTTCAAAGATGTGATTCATTAGTAAGAGATCAAACCACTTGACATGGAACCATAACAAGGTTTCTATCAAGGCCTCTACAAAAACTAAGGGAAATGCTGGAATACCAAAAAATAGATAATATAATCTCAAGTGGTAAGAGGTTCTTAGCAATAATAAAGCTATTCTTCAGAATGGGCAGAAATATTCTAAAGTAAATCAATAAGTTAACTGATTTGTTTACAGGCAAAACTCTGTACATCTGTGCAGAAACAAAACTATTAACTTTTTGTTTTCTCTTCATAAATTACACTAAGTAAGTCCCAGAAAATGACAGAATATCAATTCTAAGCTTCTTCTGAGTTAAAGATGTTGAAATATAGTTAGAAGTAGTCAGGAAAGGAAATGAGTTTTAGGAACTAGGTACACGCTGAGAAGGAGCAGTAGGGTGATAGGTATAAAAAAGCAAAAAGAAGAGACAGGAGGTTTATATTTTATATTCTAGCTTGTTAATATTGGTAATTTGAGTTCCTAATTCGTACATTCAACATACCACATCACACACTAAAATCGATATTTAGGTGTGTATTTATGTGTGTTATTATAATATTTACTTTTAAATTTACTTTAATGTATAATACTAAAATTTGAATTATAGTCTACAATTTCATACCAAACTTATTGACATAAAATAGTAGCTCAATAAAATTTTGAATGCAAGTCAACAAATGTAATGACATGGCCTTTGACCCATGACGATAGGGTTAATAAACATCTTCAGTGGTACTAAACTTAACCAATGGGGAAAAAATGCAAACTGAGAACTACGTACACAGCATGTACCCATGTGTACCCCCCATTTCCATCAGTGGAAGTAGTATATAAAACTAAATTTAAAATTTGTGTCTGAAAAAATGAGGTGTCAAAAAATATGAATAGCCACAGGAAAGCCTGCCTTCAGGCACAATAATTTAAAATTAAGTTACTCTGTACATAAAAATGTATCATACGTTTAACATTTAGAATCAGTAAACGATATATTTGCTTTTCAGTCACATGTTGCAACAATACTGTGTACTTTTCCACATAATGTTTAAGTCCTTTTTAATTCACCATTAAGTAATTATGTTATGTGAATAACATTGTGGTGTTGCCCTAAATTTACTATTCAGTATCATACTTAAAGCTCGGCTGATGAGTCTTGATTAAGTGAAAGTTTAGTCCACAGTAGAGGGTACAGCAAATCAAAGAATATATATGTAGGCCCCTACATTCGATTTTACTTTAACCTTGGTAAAGAAAAACATGTAATGTCATAATTTTCCATACTTGTTATATCAGTATTGTTTTATACATTTTATAAATGTGTTTAAGTATTATCCAAGTGTGAAAAATTTTGAATTTTGCTTAAAATATTAAGAAAAGGGCTATTCAGAGGTTCTTTCATTGTTTACTTTCTACTTTTGTCATGTGGCATTACTGGTAAATAAAGAGATTCACGTTTCACCTTACCTTGCATTTGAAAAATAGCTTATACTACCACTTAGTTTTGAACAAATTCCATATATCATAATAATTATTAATATTGGTAATAAATTACACTTAACAAATACATATTACTAGTATAATGAATGTAAGACTGAAAGATGTGAAAATACATAAAATTATTATTATAAATATATTTATTAATTTAATTAAACAAAAAGTACCAGCAAACCATTGTTGAATTTCCCAAATATAGCAATTAATGTCAGAAATTATAGTTTAATTTCTTTTAATTGGAACTACTATTTTTACACTTTGCCAGCATAATTTTCCACTGCATTGAGATATAACAAGCTGGAGTGAAACCAATCAGGTTATAACAATGTGGTCTTCAGGAGCTCAAATAAGTGAATCCCCATTTAGGTATATTTTGATATGTAGACCAAAAAGTAAAATGTTGGCTGTACTCTGCAGAACTTAGTAACAGAGGCAGTATGGAAACAGCATAAAACTATATCAAAATGAAGCATCCTGCTGGATCTAGTGTGGAGGACAGGTGGCCCAGAAAAACAATTATGCAAATATATACTAGTAGTGCTAGTGTACTATTTCTATACTACTGTGAATAATGCTCCCTGTTATCAAAATAGACCATTATTGTGTCCCAGATGAAAATATTTTTATGTTACTTCATTATTTTTGTATATTTCTAGGACTTACAGAAATATATATCTTATACATACATACATACAAACACACATTTCTTCTCTTTATTTATAATAACTTTACTTTAAATTTTCTCTTTCTTTCTTTAATTGTTCTATAAACCACATTTCTTTTTAGAGAAGCTTGAAAGCTGAAAATTAAGCAAATTATGGAAAAAATGCAATTCAAATGCCCCCACCATTTCTTAATATAAACATGTTAATTTAAAGTTGTAACTTACAATTTCAAATTTATAATACACAAACCATATGCTTGGTTTCCAGTCTGAATTTCTCTGGCTAAAATCTTTATCTTATTATGAACCCTAATAGAACGTTTGGGCAAAAAGAACCTTAAACAGTAAAGATTCAGTTCAAAAACACTTTAAAACCTTGACTGTTGACTGCTAAAGCTGTACACATATAAAATGTACAAAAAAGCACACATGTTAGAAGTGTAAGGAAGAGAAAATCTGCTCGAATGGGCCCACTTGTAATTATTATTATTTTCTTGCTAGCCTACAATAAAAACAGCTTGATATATTGCACCCAAACCTTCTGTAGAATACTAAATAAGGTACTGTGAAGGTCGTAAAGGTATTGAAAAGTTGATTTGTTTCTTCTACATCTTACATAAGCTAGAAAACATCGTAATTCTAGTGTAAATGATGTTATAATTACCCCTTTCTTACAAATATCTGGTGTTCCTTTAAAAAGCTTAAGTACAAAGTGAAACAGGAATTACCAGACAATAAGAGATGAACATTAAATGACTAAAATGTAGATAATCAATGCTTCATACACTATACAACTGTTGTCTTTAGGAAGCCAACCCCTATATTACGTATGAAGTGAAGGAGCAAAAAAAATATCAATATATATATATATATATATATATATATATACATATATATATACATAATATTCAATTTATTATACACATTTGTAAAATAATTACTATAAAAGATAAGAAGACTTATTTAAAGTGATGTTTTAGTTATATATGTTTTGATTGAAAAGGCTGCTTTTCTACTGGTAGAATTTTGTACATGCTTAGTGTCTAGTCTAAGCATATATTTACCCATTGCTATGCATTATATGTAAAGAATTTAATTACACAGAAATTATAAATGCTCACTATATTCTCAAACAAATCTCCAATTGCAGGTTAACATTTTACATCTTGAACTAATACAATCAAATAGTCAACAGCTACAGTGAATCATCAATAACCATATCAGCTAGTTAAATGCTATGTTTATCATCATTACAATGTATAAAGTTATCTACCATATCAAGTAATCCTTTGCTCATTATTTGTCCAGTTCTAAATCCTTCCTTATTGTGAATGTTAGTGAATAGTACATCAGAATATGAGAACTTTTTACATTTTTTACATTGCATCTTGGATGTGAATTATCAATCACTTCAGTTTCATATTTCCTATAAGAACATGTTGGACAAGAAAACAACCATAAAATGCTGTGAGATGGTTGAAGTATTTCTCCACAAGGATATGCTGGGCTCTCTTTGT